ATTATTAACATTTTGTATTGTATTTGCTGAACTATAAAAATATGAAATAAATTCAGAGATATTCAGGATAACTCATACTTCTTTACCGAGCCATGGAATTCTTGCAACCGCATTGACAATTCTATTTATACGACTTAGTTTCTGTTTATCCTTCCGACTCCTTGGAAGTAATTCTTCCGAGCTGTCGCCAACCTCGATGTGTATTATTTCTTCTTCATCGAGATCTTCGGTCGAGTAGGATTCCGTGTCAGCTATCGAAGTCGATGAATCTGAATCTTTTGCTGTGCTACATGGTCGACTTTTCAATTTGCCGCGAATTTTTCTACGCGCTCTGACGACGAAACCTGATGTCGGCGAGTCGCTGCTAGAGCATGGAGCCCTTATGAATGGCTCGTTAAATATCTACGTGAATCAAATATCTCAATTTGAAGATTCGTAATTAACTAAAGGAAGTTATCAAATGATACTCGAACACACTTGAATTGTTACGTCGTCTCTAATCTTCTGCGCTTCCACGTCTTTGAACGATTTTCGCCGTTTCACAATTTCCACTTCCTCTGGAGATTCCTCTTGATACGCTGAGATGATTATTAAAGTTATTGGGTAAATTTATCATTATGTTATATTCAACGACAACATAACTTACTGTAACTGAGAGTAGAATCGGTACTTCTGTCTAAATCTTTCAAATATTTGTCTTCCGTCTGTTCAGCTATGTCTTTTTCGATCTCTTCTACTGTCTCTTCTTCCTCAATCTTTTCTTTCACTCTTTCTACTCTTTCCTTTTCTTCCCTTTCCTTAACTTCCAATTTTTCTTCTGTTTCTTCATCTTCTATTCGGTCATCTTCTTCTTCGTCTTCGTCCTCGTCTTCTACTTCTTCTTCTTCTACTCTTTCCTCTTCTTCTTCCTTCTTAACTTCCAATTCTTTTTCTTTTTTTATTTCAGGTTTTATTACTGGTATTTCATATTGATCATCCGAGGAGTCCCTAATAGATTTAAATTATTAATTATATCACCAAGTCTACTTGATTTCTATTTATTACTCATTCTTGTCCAATGGTGAGATTCCACTAAGCAAACATTCAGTTTCAGTAACTCTTGAAGTGCAGAATTGTGTTTTTATTATTAGAAACAATTAAGGAGTATCGTGTTTATTATTTCTAAATAATCTGAAGGAGTTCTATGAGCGCGGGATTATGAAGTTAGCAGAGAGATGGGAGAAGGTCATCGAACAAAATGGAAGATATTTGATCGAATAAAGTTAAATTATTGCACATAAAAAATTGAGTTTTATTACTCCCTAAAAAAGCGAAATTACTCTCTTGCCAATCCAATAATTATATCACATTTTACATGTCACAACTTAAAAAAAACCGCATATCAATTATATGTTTACTTTCAAATACATATACATATGTATAATAAGCCATCTTTAAGCCTTCTCGAGCTATTCCAATTTTGAGCACACGTTATTTGTACTCTTAGCATTGTGCATCCTAATTCTTGACGAGTTGTACTTTTGCCAAATGGGATCCCACCTTTAGAGTTCAATCGAACGTTTGTCAAATGAGATCCTGGAGTAATTAATTTTCTGTACTTTTCCTCACTCATATCGGACAAGTCGCCGTATTCCATCGGTGCCCGACATATGGTACATAAATTCTGCAAATCTGCGAAGCACTGTGCGCAGAATAATCCAATGCATCCAGGGGTCGGACATCGAATATGTGGATTATCCGCAGAACGTTCGACTGCGCCGCACAGAAGGCAAACGTTTTGTTTCAATGGGAACAGGGTATTCAAAAAAGGGAACATTGCCCACAATCGTTCCTTCAAAGTTACTTTTTCTGTTTTTTCGCTTTTGATTAGACCGAATTTCCGACGTAGCTGACGTCTGGCGAATTTTAAAAAGCTCCCTCTCGTTCTGGTTGTACACGTATGCGTTTGAGGATGAATGCGAATGAGATTAAAACGTGGGATCAGGAAAATCAAGTTTAGTACCTAAGAATGTGATTGTACAACCAAGCTGCTCTCTGCTTCGCCCTGTCAGGATAATACTGAGACATGACGATGTGCCTCAATCTCAAACCGTATGGTTCAAAAAATGCCATGGACCAACAGAAAAATATCAAGACAATGATCTGAACGTATTTATCTGTATCAGGGGGTATCGGATCAGGAAGACATAACATCGTGTCGATTTCTGCTTCTTTCCCGCCAGGCGTGAACGCTTTTACGATACTTGTATAAAGTTCAGACAGATATCCTTCTCCTGATACGTGGATGGTCACCACGCTTGGTCGTTCGACCTTAAAAGTGCAATTCTCGTTTCTAACATTGCTTTATGATATTCAGTCGAATCAGTATTGCTTTATGATATTCATCGATTATGTAAAATACTGTTTCTATATTTGACACTTTACCTTACTTTGAAATCGTCCATGTAATTGAATAGTACGTAAAACCCAGAAGAGGCAATAATCTATCAACATGTAAGTGACTAATTTTATCGTGGCTAAGCCTAAGAATATTATGGACCTCGCTAATTTCTGTTTTTCGGGTTTGATTAACATTATGGAAGATAGAGGCGCGTATCTATTTCGTTCTCGTGAATTCAAAGGCAACACCGTTTCTTTGTCTTGACGAGCTCGTACCAAATCAATCGTACGCAGATTATCAGTTATATATCGATTGTCAAAACGCTCATTAGTTAACCATTTGTAGCGGTAATGCAACACCCTGTAAAGATGTATAATTAAATAGACTAAGGATTCGGATGAAATTCTAGTTTGTAATACAGTATAAAAAATACAAAGTGCTTTAGATTAAGTTTTGTAGTATTTTATTTTTCTATAAAATAAGTTTACTTGTTGTTGTAACGCGTTTATGTACATTGTATTTCTTTAATGGTTTATTAAGATAACGTTTTATGTGATTGATTTTATCCTATCGTATAATATTACCTGAGTACAATGAAGAAAACGAAAAATGACGTGACGAAGCTGACCAAGTCGAAGAACCCGAAGAGTTTATCACTCCTCGATCGTATTTCTGTAGCAATACCCGAGGAAACTTCTTCTATCGTTTTACTTTGGTTCGTCTCAAAATGAAACGAATGAGAGAATTTAACTTTCACGTAGAACATAGCTTTCACATGCATCGTAAACTGCTTAATTTCTATGAATTACAGAAATCATAGTATTAAACTATTAATAAGCTATCCATTTTTATATTTTACTATAATGTGTAATTTATTAAGTAAAACAGAAAAGATAAATACAAATTACAGCTTACTATTGCGTACGACACCCACTACGGTATCAGCTATATAAGAGACGAGCATGCAAATAAAGTCTAACGGTTTCACTACGTAGCAGAGTGCACTGACTATATAAGTTATGTTGCAAACGGTCCCTAGGATCGGTCCCAATTTCGCTTTACAATCTGCAACCGCTCCTTCGAAGACACTCTGGCATCTGTCGTAAGGCGTGCCTAATTTCTTGTTACACATATTTATTACGCTTCCAAGCCATTGGAATACCGAAGTAATGACTCTAACTAAATAATAAGGAAGGCAATTACTTAAAAACATGTAAATTCTACGATATATTTAACACATTAGATCAAATAGATACTGACGTATACTGAGCACTAATCTCTTAATCGCAATAAGTGTTTGCTTGATTTTTTTCACGACGACCTTAACGGTCTTTATAATTTTTGATATAGCTTGTCGTAGAGCGTAAAATGGTTGTTTCGCCAAATCTACGATGGTTTTTACTGCTTCTCTTAATTGTTCCTACAACATAAACTGGACTAACGAAATCTGGTAGTCGAACACTTGATGTGATGAAATGAGTTATACGAGTCAATAGTTATTTAAATCGAATCAAAAACTTTAAGAAGATTAAATTATAGTGTAGTTTAACTAACTCAAATAGTTTGAGTGAGCTCTACGTTCCGTGATTAGAATTAACGAATTTAGTGAGGGAAGCGTACTTGTGCACAAGCCAATGATTCTGACAGCACGGCAGTATTGTGTATAGTATTCCTTATCGGTCCGGTTAACGCTAAAATAAAAGCGTACGCCATTAAGGCTTGCCTGCCCCGTTTCGAGAAAAACTGTGGCAACAACAGAAACACGATACATCTGGAATGCGGTATCATGTGCAACAAAAATACGATACGATATTAATCTTTGGTCGAGGGTATTTAACGAAAAACGTACCGAACTCGGGGAGAAAAGGCAAGACCCAGAGTGAGGATAGTTCCTACTATAGTACAGAGAAAAGTTGCGGACGATAGTTTAAAATGTAATTGGAACACGAAAAATATGAAAAAGATGTACGTCAAAATTACGCCTCCAGTAAATCCCAAGAAACTCTTCGCTACGTAATTTTCCCACGTATCCTCGGTACGAATCGCAATGTACTTTTTATATATCCATGCGTCTTTCGGGATGACATCAAAAATTTTGCTAAGAATATGCTTCAACTTCTTCTTAAACCTGTTCACGTTTTTTAAGACATTAGTACGATAGCCTCGTTAAAGCCCTCTATTTCACGTGTACACGAAACGTCTATTTAATTTAAAAAGTAAAATGAAAAACACGCGTCTAATTAATTTAAAGAGAAAACCGCGAGTATGCAGTACCCATGTGTAATATTTCAATATCTTC